GAAGACGCAGAGGGATGGAATGGGGAAGGAGGTGGGAGGGGGGATTGGGATGGGGAACACTTGTAATCCATGGCTGATTCATGTCAATGTATGGCAAAAACCACTACAATATTGTAAAGTAATTAGCCTCCAACTAATGAAAATAAATGGAAAAAAAAGTCTTAATTTCGATTTTTTTCTTTGTAACTGAATGTGTTGGGGTCCCCAGACCACCACCCAGGCTTGGTGATTGTCTTAAGAGGAGTCACAGGACCTAGCATTCATTACCATGGCTTTGTCTTAATAACTGCGAAAGAACACAAAGTGACATCAGCAGAGGGAAAAGGCATGTGGTGCAAAGTCTGGAGGAACCAGGTGCAGGCTTCTGAGAGCCTTGGCCCAGCAGAGAAAGACAGCACACCCTTCATTCCTCCAGCAGCGGATTGTGACGACACTGGTGAAATGTTGTGGGCTGTGGAAGCTTATTAGAGATTTGGTACCCAAGGTTTTTATTGGATTTGGATTCTTATGTAGGCATCTCTGCCTGATTTGAACCAAAAGTCTGGATTCCCAGTAGGAAAACAGGTATTCAGCATAAACCATATCATCGGCAGAAAGGCTTAGGCACAGTGAACCACTCTTAACAGTTATTGTTGTGGGAACCCTCCTGAACAGTCAGTGTGCTAGCCAAGGACCAACTGTGCAAGCAGACTTTTCTAATAGCGATCTCAGGCTGGCATGTTAATGTCTCTGTACACAGAGCTTATCCTTCACTGACTGCTTCTTTCGATTGTGTGTCTTAAAATGTTTATTGAAGAATTTATTGACTACTGTATTTTTTTTAAAGTTTAGGATGTTTTACATAAATACATACTGTCCAGCAAGGTACATTTAAACAAGTAGATGAAGAAACCACTAGACATCTTAAGCAGCAGTCTTGTCTTGTTGGGAAATTTTCTTCTCTTGTACCCCATACATTTTCCTAGGTACATATCTTTTGTTACATCATTAGCTTCATTGGGTCTCTCTCTGAGTCTGCTTCTAGCTTCCCCAGTAAGCTGTGTTCTAGTCAAGATTAAATCTTGGTTATTCTCTTTCCTCTTGCCTTGCTGTTACTCATTCAGAGCTCATAATGCTTGTTTTTTACGTTACTATATGTGAGTCCCCTACCTTTCACCTTTCTAATGGAACGGACTTCTTGCTCCACTTTTGAATTCCTAGATCTGCTGACCATTCCAATTGAGTAAGTGAAACTTCAGGTTATCTTCTGTCCTAATCCACCTTTCTTACCCATTTGGAGGCATACCTTGGGGAGATTGCCATTTTGGTTCAAGACCATTTCAGTCAAGTGAATATTGCAATAAAGTAAGATGCAAGTTTTTTATTTCCCAGTGCATGTAGAAGTTTAGTATACTATAGTCTGTTAAGTAATAGCACTATGTCTAAAAACATGTACATACCTTAATTTAAGCTCCAGTACTTTGGCCACCTAATGGAAAGACCTGACTCATTGGAAAAGACCCTGATGCTGGGAAAGATTGAAGGGAGAAGGAGAAGGGGACAGCAGAGGATGAGATGGTTAGAGCATCACTGACTTTAGTGGACATGAATTTGCATAAACTCCGGAAGGTAGTAGGGATAGAGGAGCCTGGCATGCTGCAGTCCATGGAGTTGCAAAGAGTCAGACACACCTTAGCGGCTGAACAACCACCTTAATTTTAAAATACTTTATTACTAAAAAAAAAAATGTTATTTTGTGAGCCTTCAGGAATCCTAATAGTAAGGTCTTGCCTCTATGCTGATGGCTGCTGACAGATTGTGGTGGTGATTGCTGAAGGCTGGGCTGGCTGTGATGGTTTGTTTAAGACAATGCAGTTTGCTGCTTGGCTCTTTTTTCACAAATGTTTCTCTAGCGTGCAGTGCTGGTTGATAGCATTTTACATCTTTCAAAATTGGAATCAGTGATTTCCAAGCCTGTTGTTGCTTTTATCAATCAAATTTTTGTTATATTCTAAATCCTTTGTCATTTCAAACAACCTTCACAGAATCATTACCAGAAGTAGCTTCACTCTTAAGAAACCTCTTTCTTTATTCATCCATGGGAAGCAGCTCCTCATCCATTCAGGTTTTGTCATGAGATGCAGCCTTTCAGCCCCATCTTCAGCTCCACTTCTAGTTGTCTTGCTATTTCCACCACATCTACAGTTCCTTCCTCCACGGAAATCTTGACAAGTCTTGGAGTCACCTGTGAGGGTTGGAATCCGCTTCTTCCATACTCCTGTTAATGCCGATATTTTGACCTCTTACCATGCATGAATCATGAATGTTCTTGATGGCATCTAGAATGATGAATTCTTTCCAGAGGGTATTTAATTTACTTTACCTAGGTCAGTCAGACTCATGTCTTTTGGCAGTTATAACTTTATGAAATGTATTTCTGAAAAAGAATAGAAAGTTGAAATGACTCTTTGATCCATGGGCTTGCACAATAGATGTTAGCAGGCATGAAAACAACATGAATCTTGTATGTTTCCATCAAGCTCTTGGGTGACCAGGCACATTGTCTGTGAGCCCTAGTACTTTGAGAAGTCTTTTTTTCTTAACAGTACATCTTAACAGTGCGCTGAAAACATGTTGTAAACAGATGTGCTGTCATCCAGGCTTTGTTGTTCCATTTATAGGCAGAGAAGATTTAGCATAGTTCTTAAGGGCCCTAGGATTTTCAGGTGGTAAATGAGCATTGGCTTCAACTTCAAGTCACCAGCGGCCTTAGTTCCTGAGAGAGTCAGCCTCTTCTTTTAAGCTTTGATGCCAGGCGTTGATGTCTTCTTTCTGTGAAAGTAATAGAAGGCTGTTTCAATCTATGTTGAAAAATCTGTTGTTTAATGTAGCCACCTTCATGAATGTAAGATTTTAGCTTGATCTCCTGGGTGACTTGCTGCAATTTCTACATCAGCACTTGTGGCTTCACTTTGATGTTACAGAGGCATCTTCTTTGCTTCAGCCTCAGGAACCAACCTCTTGGCTTCGGACTTTTCTTTGCAGTTTCCTCACCTCTCTCAGCCTTCATAGAATTGAAGAGAGTGTGGGCTCTGCACTAGGCTTTGGCTTAGGGGAATGTTTTGGCTGGTATATATGATCTTCTCTCCATGTAAACTCAAACTTTATTGACATCAGCAGCAATGCTGTTGTGCTTTCTTCTTGTGTTCACTGGAATAGCACTTCTAATTTTCCTGTGGGAACTTTCTTCCTGCATTCACATTGGCTAACTGGTGCGAGAGGCCTCATTTGCTTTCTGTCTTGGCTTTCAACCTGCCTTCCCCAGTAAGCTTAACTGTGTCTAGCTTTTCATTTAAAGTGAGAGATATGTGACTCTTAACCTTTCACTTGAGCACTTAAAGGCCATTGTAGGGTTATTAACTGGCCTAATTTCAGTACTGCGTGTCTCAGGGAAGATGCCAGCCCGTGGAGAAGGGGAGACGTGGGGGAGCAGTCAGAACACACACAGTTATCATTTAGGCTTGCCATGTTGTGTGGGTGGTGTTTGTGGTGTTTCAAAACAAATTCAATAGTAAATCAAAGATCACTCTCCACGGATTGCTGTAACAAAGATAATCACAGTGAACAAGTTTGAAATGTTATGAGAATTACCAAAATGTGACACAGAGACAAGAAGTGAACCAACGCTGTAAATAGCACTGATAGATGTAAGATTGACACAAACCTTCAATTTATACGAAACTCAGTATCTTTGAAGTGCAGTAGAGTAGAGTCCAATAAAACAAAGGTAGGCCTGTAGTTGTTCTTGTTGATTGAAATAGTTAATTCTTACTAAATTCTTCTCATAACCACCCTGATTCTGACTGCTAATTTTCCAGGGCCACTGGACCATCTAAATTGCTCTTCCTGCTTCCAGCTTTTGTTCATTATCTTTTTTTTATTTTTTAATTTTTTTATTTTTTATTTTTTTCATTTATTTTTATTAGTTGGAGGCTAATTACTTTACATCATTGCAGTGGTTTTTGTCATACATTGAAATGAATTAGCCATGGATTTACATGTATTCCCCATCCCAGTCCCCCCTCCCACCTGTTCATTATCTTGTAGCCTCCATACCACTTGGCAGTTCATTGTAGCCTCCATACCACTTGCCAGTTCATTTTTTGGGACAAGGAGTAGGTGGGAAGTTGATTTTGTAGTGGAGGTTTTTGTATTGCTAATCAAGTCTGGATTTTTAGATCTTGGCTTTTCTTAAGATAAAACTGGCATCCCTGATGGTCATGGTTCATAAAATTCTTTATTTTATGTTTACTTTAAAGCAACTGGTCCTATTGTGAGGAGATATGATGTCATTTTCATCATCTTGAAAGCAAGCACCTTCCCTGAAACTTAACTTTTTGAAAATTTTATATTGTTTTAGTTAAAATTTGTTAAAACTTTAAAGAGCAAGTGTGGAAAACTGTTTAAGAAGTTGAAAAGTAATTGCAAAAACCTCCTGGATATTCAATGTATGACAAAAACCACTGCAATGATGTAAAGTAATTAGCCTCCAACTAATAAAAATAAATGGGAAAAAAAATAGTTATCAGTTATCAAACCATAAAAAAAAAAACAAAAAAAACTCTACTGGATAATTGAGGCTTCCCTGGTGGCTCAGACGGTAAAGAATCTACCTGCAGTACAGGAAACCCGGGTTTGATCCCTGGGTTGGGTAAATTCCCTAGGGAAGGGAATGGCAACCGAGTCCAATATTCTTGCCTGGAGAATTCCATGGACAGTGGATAATTGGGTAATTGTCACTTTTGTTCTCTCATTAGTGGAACTTTTGGCCTTTTTTCTATGTATGTTGTGTCTTTCATAAAACTTTTAATTTTTTTTAAAAAAACCTACAGTTTGCTAGAAATGATAAAAATTCACTTTTGCAATGATGAATTAGTGATATATCTGTAGTATGACAGAAGCCCAGTATAAACATCAGCTATGACTTACTTAAAATTCTCTTTGCTTTTTATTTATTAAAGGGACCAGTTACTCTCCCCAAGAAAATTCACACAACCACAGTGCTCTTCATAGTTCAAATTCACATTCTTCTAATCCAAGCAATAATCCAAGCAAAACTTCAGATGCAGTAAGTATATAATCGTTTGCAGTTTTGTTTTTTGAATATATTGCAAAATTTTTAAAAATCAAAGTTCTTCTTAATGCACCTGAACTAATGAGCTAGCTTTAATATTAAAATTGAGGATAGTCTGAATATGCCACCTTGATACTGTTTCATTAGCATTCTTTTGTGGAGCAAAATTTACCGTTGTGATACTTGAGATACAAAGAACTTCAGATTATGAAACTTGTGTCTTGACTTGAGCTTATATTTTTCATAATCTATAAACTTCTGTTTTTAAAATCTGTAAGTTGAGTATCTACTATATATTATATACCCTACAAGACATTTAGTGATAATAGAGGTCTTGGTCCTGAAAGGCATGAAACCCAGTGAAGGATTGTAGGTTTTTCTAAAAATGAAGCAATTGTTAATGAAGTAGTTTGAACTTTTTAAAGTTAGGAATCAAATGAAAGTTCTAATACATTCATGCAAAAATAAGATTTCAACTTTTCAAGCAGATGCTAGATTTTTGATGTATAGAACTAAAAAAAATATGGAGACTGACTATAGGTCGGTAAACCATTAGATCAGTGCATGTTAAGGTCCTGGGGGAGCCCTCAAGAGGGGACTGAGCCTGGGTGAAGAGGCTGTGCTAGCCAGCAGGCTGCCTGTAACCCACGTCGTGCAAGAGGCCTGGAATCGTGTAGTGTGGAAAGGAACAGCACCCACAAAGACACCGAAATGTAAAGAAGCACTTTGTCTGGAGAGCACAGATTTTGCTGGTATGGAGAAATGGTAGGAGCTCAGGTTACAGAGAGAATGGGGCCAGATCACACAGTATTCTCTGCTTCCCAAGGATCGTGGACTGTATGTAAAGGCGGTGGAGAGATCCTCAAGGGCCTAGTCAGGAAGTACTGTATTTGCGATTTAAAAACCATCAGATAGCAGTGTGGAAAATCCATTACAGGAAGGATGGAAGGACAACTAACTGAAAGGCCATGGAAGTATTGGTTGAATCCAGCAGGCATTGCCTTGGTTATTCAGGTGGTTATTGTACCTTAAGTGGTATTGAAAACTCTTGGGGTTTATTATTTTTTGTCTCTTGCTGAATCAGTGTGATTAGTACATTTCCATAGAAAATTGGGACATCAACGATTTTCATAAAAAGTTTTAAGTATTAGGGTCTATTCAGGAAAACAAATCTTGCTGGTTATTTTATCACAGAGAACTTCAAACACGGAAAACAAGAAGTAGCATAGATAGTGATTATCCCTGAGGACTGGGAACAAAAGGAACAGTTTGGGGGTTATCAGAACCTAATTGCTCAGAGGAGGAGCCCTGCACAGTTCTCTGAGGGGTATAATGAAGCTGTTTCTGATTCTGGATTGAGAGCTGGAAACTGGGGTCCCCTGTGGCTGCTTTCTCCTGCCCTTCAGTCCTCCTCTAATGTCTGGTATTGGCAGACTCTTAACAGAAAGCTAGCTGGCTAAATAGAATGTAATTTGCACTGTCCCAGCGTTAGCATCACAGAACATAGAAGGATGGTATTGAGATCCAGACAGCAGCTTGATAAACTTTGACAGGTGTTATCATCACACTGTTTCTGCTGAATCATTTTCACTGAGAAATATACTCAATATTTTACAGTGAGTATCCATTTTTGTGAAAAATAGCCCCATTAATTTAACAGTCTAGCACTAACCTAATGTTCCCTTCATCACTGACGATTTAGATTTTGTATTCATATGCTGTTAGGCCAGAGGCAGGCCTTGTGGACATTGTTTTGGTGAAAAAAAAAAAAATTCGGAAAAACGGTTTCTGATTATCTTGATTTTCAGGAAATAGATCGGCATAATGAAATCAGAGAGTGTAAATAATGGGCATCAGAAAGTTTGCAGCATCCAGATTCTTAAGGGTGTCAGGGGATTTCACTATGTGAGTGACAACAGAAGATGGATTAAATGTCATGTGTTTTTAGAATCAAGGTTCCCCTTCTGTAAATTTCAACTCTAGGTATATAATTAACCTTCAAGTGGTGATCTTTTTCATCATCATGTACCCAGTGGGCGTGGCACTTTCTTACAAACCGAGTTTAATGTTACCTGAGAAGCTGGCTTTTGAACATTAGTAATCTGAAGATTACTTTCAAACCATGTCTTGAAATCACTTCTAATGGACATTTTTCTGAGTAGTAAAGTAAAATGTAAAATCATTGTTCATTAATATCTTTGTAATGAAAGAGACGAACAGATGAATATTAGGTAGCCCAGGTTAAAAAAACACATTATTTTAACCCAGGTTAAATAAAATATCTTATATTTGTCAGTTACACCTCAGTAAAGTGGAAAATAATACAATGGGAAAAACATTTAACACCTGCTTTTGCATATCAGCATTTAAATAATTTCCATTTCTTTAAAAGGTTTCTTCCTTAACCTATTTTGGGGGATAGAAATAGGGTGGAGAAGATGAACTTAAATTACTAGTATGTGATTGTAATGCTGTACCCTGGAGCACATTTTGTTAAGTAAGATATTAACTTGTACTAACCTAGGATTTGATAGACCCATGCTCTTCAAGCTCCTGGTCTGTGAACTTTTAACTCACTGTCCTGCAGGTTGTGCCACAAGGGAAATTAGTTGTCATTAAATACACTCTTTAGTTGAGCTATGGTATGTGTTTGTTTTTTAAAGCAAGACCTTTGGCTCGGGAAGCAGTGTGTTTATATATATTCTGATGCAAGCTCCTTGTCTCCTTCAGGACAGGTCACAGTTTGCATAGCCATCACTTTTGAAGAGCACTGGCTTAGACCTCTCTGTTCTACTCTGGTGTCCTCTGTCCACCTTTAGACCAAATCTCCTTCATCTCTTTAGACCAAACTAGTAATCCCATGCAATTGCCTGCCCAGCAAACCAAATCTTGCAAATACATCCATAGAGGGCTTTGTTGGCATAATAATTTAGATCTAGGGGGTGGTAGATGGTAGAGAAGAACCCTTTTGAATTTTGCCTTCTGGATTGGGTTCCTGCAGCCTGGTGAAGCCTTTTCCTGGCTAGAGTCGGGTGGAGTGTTGAGAATTGACTCTCCCCTGATCTCTAGAAGTCTGGAAGCACTGGGCTGATAACCAGGAGCTTCGCAATTTTGAAACAGCCTGAGAGCAGAATCTGCAGTGTTTCTTCAGCTATGCTCAAAATTGTTACACATTTCCAAAATTGGTGTTGATTTAGTGGGAATAATAGATACCCGGAAACCTGAGTTTTGATCTTTTCTTCTGTTACTCTTTAGTTTTGTGATGTATGGACATGTTCTCTGTGCTTGTTCCTATGTGCTAAATTCAAGTTGAATAGGCAGTGCATAAGAATTCGTTTCTTGAAGTGTTTAAATTGTGTCCCTCTGCACAGTGGTGAGCAAGGAAGAAGGGTGAATTCCCAAAGTATAACCCTTGCTTCATTTTAATCTCGCAGCTCCTTGGTAAACAGTTATCAATAAATTCATGTAATACTAGGATTTCTACCAGATTTCCTGGAGCCAGTGCAGGCAGTTAAACATTACATTGTTGAGATTAATTCCATGAGAAATGGGCCTTTCAGATAATTTTTAATTTCATGATAATTTTACAGTGTCCGTGAAATGACTAGCAAGAGACTGAATCTGAGAACTAACACAGACCAATTTTAGTTCTGGGAAAATGAGTGATGCTGCTGATCCTGTATGTTGTGTGAGACAAGTTCAGTTAATACTTGACATGTCTTGTGGATTGTGAAGCTGGAGCAAATTCATAGCTTTTAATATCCTGTGTTTATACCGAAGCTTTTTTGTGTGTGCTTTTCTCCCCCACTAAGTAACAGTGAGTACAAGCAGGTTGTTCTCTGTTACGCTAATTACTGTTGTGCCTTAAAGTGTTGAGAACTGATGTGCTCTCATGCCATCAAGTCAGCCAGTTGAGACTGGATTCTCTGTGTAACTAGACTTCAGCAGTTAAAATTATGGTAATGGGGGTTTTGTAATGCTTTTCTAAGGTCAGTATGATGTTAATTTGATACTTTATAGACTGTTCCATTGTTAGTTGAAGGTTTTCTTAGACTAAGATCTCCTAAATATACATGCAGATGATTCCATCTCAGATGAGGGTACCTTTGTCTCAAGTCTTTCCCCTATGTGTGCTTATAAAACCATTTACATTCTTGATATATCAAGTGATTAAATTACATTAACATTTTCTAATTTTTTTTAAGCCTTATGATTCTGCAGATGACTGGTCTGAGCATATTAGCTCTTCTGGGAAAAAATACTACTACAATTGTCGAACAGAAGTTTCACAATGGGAAAAACCAAAAGAGTGGCTTGAAAGGTATTTGTGCTTAATTGAACAGTATTTCTCACTCTTGATTCTACAGGCTAACATCCTAGGGCGCTAAACATTCTAAATTTAGGTTTCTTAGTGTGCTCTTCATCACTTCTCTTAATTGAAATGTTGACCCACTGTCTGTGTTTTCCATAATTTCTCTTAAAAAACAAACCAAAAAAACTAGGACAGATGAGTAGCTGTCCACAAGGTCCTTGTAAACAGTATGTTTAATTTTAAAACATATTGATCTACATTTATTCATCTTTTCTATAATCTGTATTAGAAATCTTTGTCTTGTAGGACAGTGTTTCCTTCATGTAGAATATAGAATTATTGTTACTGTGTATAGTTGTGGGGTTCATGGCATGTAAATCAGTGTAATGTTGCCATCAGTGAGAAGCATTACTGCTGTTGCTGTGTCCCAGGTCCCACACCAGTTACATGACATCACTGCCTTGTTCTTTGATGTTCAGTGTACTGTTTCCTTACACATTTGACCACAAGTGTTAAGTGTAGATTCATTGTATCTGTTGTAATTTTTATGGGTTTATCATTGTATCTGTTGTAATTTTTATGGGTTTATCTTTCATTTTTAGAGAACAGAGACAAAAAGAAGCAAACAAGATGGCAGTTAATAGCTTCCCAAAAGATAGAGATTACAGAAGAGAGGTGATGCAAGCAACAGCCACTAGTGGGTTTGCCAGTGGAAGTAAGTATTGATTTTTTTCTTTGAACTAATGTAGTGTTGAATTCAATTCAGTAGTTTGTTTACAGATATATGTGCATAGCCACTTATAATGTAAAATAGTTAGAAACATAACAAGTTTTTTCTTTTATGCTGGATCTATCCTTGTAACCTAACATTATTTTATTTCTTGAAAAGGGAAAGAGTGTATAATAGTACATAGTTGAATGAATACACCTGTGTATTCATCACTACTTATAATGGCTATGATGCCACTGAGTTGGTTAAAAAGTAAAATTTCATGTTGTGGATTGACTTCTTGAAACAGGAGCTGCCACAACATCTCCCTCCCCCCATTTAAACTGGACACTGCAAACCTTCCTGGATTTCAATCTAATAATTAAATCAAAGGTACACAGATAGTGACATGAAATACCTGTTTTTGTGTTGGCAATGAGAAACTTGTTTATCCTTGTATTTGGAAATGGTTTCATAATGATCATAGATCTGTGTGTTATCTCGGTACCGTGGGCATATCTTCATGTTCTCTTAAGGTCAGATTTTGTCCAAGTTGGACAATATGGGTAACATAAATTTATTTTTTTAATTCAAATAAAGTTTGAATTTAAAGATTTTACCACATATGTTCTATTCCCAGTGACTTGTCTTGCCCAGAATAAAATTTAAATGCCACATAGAATTCTTAGGCTCTTTATCAAGTTTTGAGAATTTTAAGATGTGTTTTGGAAATTCTTAGACGTAAACATATTTGAGTTCTCATTCTGTAACTCAAAAAAGTAGAGATATATTTGGTCCCAATAAAGGATATTGAACTTTTGATGGGAAAAGTTATTTAAAGGTGAAACAGATAATATAGTTCTGTAGGGCTGAATGTTTAAAATGTGTTTCTGGAAACATTAAATTTGTTATATTAAATTGTACTTTATTTTTAGAAAATAAAAATGGTTTAAGGTACTCTAGTTAATAAATTTAAGAATATTGTATTTTGAGACAGAAGACTTTGGTTGTAGTCTCATTTTACTTAAGTAACTGACTTTTGGTGAGTTACTAAAAATGAGTGGCTTTTCCTTCCAGCTTAAAAAAATACACAGTGCCCAGCTTGTGGTCCTCTTGAACCAACTATGGGTATCCAGCAAGAGTGGCTAGTTGGATGTAAAGATAACATATTTTAGTTATTGGGGCAGGCCTCTCTACATAAGAGGCTGGTGGTTCCCAGAGAGGAAAAGATTGCCATCTAGTGTGTGTGTTCCTTCCAAAATAACCTAGGCCCTTATCCTCCGTCTCTTGCGGGTAATTAGAGATCTGATAGAAATGTTGACAGAAGTGAAAATACAAGTTTTGTCTGCTTAAAAAATATCTTTAAGAAAATAAAACCATAGTTGTATTTTTAAATTATCTCTGTGTAGCTTTTACTTTCAGAAGTGAAGTCAGATTTTCTTCTTTATGATTTCAGAACTTAGACAATGTTTGTTACTAAAAATGAAGGAGGGAAAATATTTTAATCTCATGATTCAGGAATATTTGGGGACATAAACTTTTTTTCTAGCTGCATATAATAAAATAAAACATGTGTATGTATTTTATATCAAAATCAGATTATGTTACTGTTCTTAACCTTCTGTTCAGTAATGTTTCAAGGATATAGGACTTCCCAGGCGATCCAGTGGTTAAGACTCGTGCTTCCACTGCAGGGAGTTGGGGGTTTGATCGCTGGTTGAGGAACTGTGATTGTGCATGACTTAAGGCACTGCCCAAAAAAAAATTTTTTTTCCCCCCAAACATACGTTTGTCATTTTATAATTTAACATATATTATGTTGACTATATGCTGTTCCCTTTTTTGAACATGCTCATGTTCGGTGGATAATCCTCTATCTGTGGAGACTGGCGTGGTTTTTAGCTTTTTCCTACAGTAAACAGTGCTGCTATTCCTGTTTGTCCACTTACCCGATTACTTCCTTAGTTAAATTCCTAGAAGTGTAGAGGAGAGTGGGCCTGTGTTTGTTGAAATGTAGTTATATATTATACTTGCTGAGTTTTAAGGAATGTTTGAGAAAGGGCTTTTGCTGTACTTGTTGCTGCTACTTTTTTTTTTTTTTTAATTGGTCAATTGACTACCTGGTTGAGAGTAATAGTTACTAAGCCTTTGAAGTACTTAACTTTGTCTACCAAAAACTGCTGGGAGAGTTTCCCCTGTGTCTGGTACAGTGGTATGCATGTCAGGTAGCACTTAAAGCTTTGTTCTTCCTCACAGCCCACTAAAGAGGTGTGGAGCAGAGAGCAGGAAGGATTGGGAACACTTTACATCTAAAGAGAGAAAGGTAGAAGAAAGGATCTTTAAGAGCGGTTTTGGGTTTTTTGGCAGTGTTGGAAATAATCCACAATTTGACACTGAAGTTGTATGGGTGAAATTTTAAATTTGATATCACTGCTGCTGTAATTGCACTGATGTGGTTGTATTGTGTTTTGTTTGTTTTTTTAATCTTTAATCTGTGTAGAGTGATTGCTCTGTGGTTAGAGAAACTTTAACTTGGTGTTCTTCAACAGTGACACTACTGACATTCTGGGTCAGGTCATTCTTGCTAGATTCTGTGCTCTATTGTAGAATGTAGAGCTTGTTCCCACCTCCACAAATAAGATCCCAGTGGCACCCCTCTCCTTGCCACAGTCGTGACAACCAGAAGTGTCTCCAGACACTTGTTTAGTGTTCTTGTTGTGGGAATGTGCAGATCAAGTCATTTTAACCATGTTTAGTCTTGAGTTGTGAGGAATAGAATGCTGTTGGGGCCATAGCATTCTCATTTGCTGTGATGCTGCTGCTGTGTCTGCCCCATCCCCTGCCCCCCAAAGTTTACACATGTGAGAAGTATCTTTAATTTTCATATGAATACTTGATAGATTTTGGCTGTAATCATACAGAACATTAAAGGGCATTTCCTTCATGAGCAAAGTGACAAGGTTGATGGGAATTGGGCATGTTTTGTTTTTGTTTTTGTTTTAAACTGTTAAACCTGTCTCTGAAAGCTTGTGGGTAGTATTCTTTTCAGGAAGAAACTCTAAAATAAACTTTTAATTTGTATGTGCACTCAAGTTGATAGTTTACTGATAAGTTAATATCATGGAGCAGATGTTTGTAATCTGCTGTGGCAGCTCAGTCTGTTTATTTTTCTGGTACAATAATAAATGCATCTGTTGTAACCCTGATTTTCATTAATTAAGTCTTCAAGTAAGAAGACCTTGTTTTGATAATGATAAGGTTTTTTTTTTGACAGTATCCAGTATTATACCAAGTACCTTTTGTTTGGCTATAATGTTAGAAGGTGTACATTGCCAACTTGAAAACTGACTTGTAGTTAAAGCATACTTCCTTCTTTGTGCTCTTGTGGCCTCTAGACTTGGAGGAACTATGAGTTGGAAAAAAAATGACACTGCATTCAACAGGGAGGGCATCCTTTGGTAATCACGTGCTTGAATCTTAAGATGTTTTTCTACATGGAAGTTGCTTTAATCCTTTAGTTACTGGGGAGACTATTGTAATTTAGGCTGGAGAATTTTTTATAAATATAAATTTTCTTTAACTGTGATTGTTCAGAATTTTCCTTCTTTTGTACTTATTTTGTGGAAGCAAAAGTACTTTTAAAATTTAAAAAGTACTTTTTAAAATTAATTTTTGTGGCTTTAAGTTGGAAGAGGATCTGTTTTTAACATACCCAAGTATATTTTTCTGACTTTGCTGCAGATGTAGGGCTTCTATTTTCAGATAGCATTATCTATAACTTGATTTTTAACTAACTCTGGTATTTGTTAGCATTTTAAAAATGAGTTGACTTACTTAATGCAGCGTTCTTCATAAATTCAGCCATCCCTAAATGAGGTTAAGCCCTAGTACCAACAACTTTAGAGCCCACTAGTTAGCTGCTTCAGTATTCAGAAAAATCAGGCTAACAAAGTAATAATTCTTTGCAGTTGAATCACTGTGGATGATACAGTCAATTATTAGAGCCAAGATCCATATTTTAAAAGAATGGATCATTTGCTTTTTCTGTTTAAAAAATTTTTTTTCAAATTTGAATAAAATGTTATAAATCCATATATTGATCTTTTTAAAAATGTTCTGTTTGAACTATGGTGTGGTTCTAAAGAATCCCCCAAAACAAGTAAGCCCACTTGAAATCTGAGTATAGAGTTAATATTTATAGTTGATCTGAAATTCCTCTTCCAGTATTTGGATGTTTGTATGCTACTGGTAAAACTGCAGAGACTAACTGGGCTTGCAGTTTTATAGAAAAGATGTAAGTACAAGTATGTTGCTAAATTAGCTGATGTTAAAGACAGGATTCTAACGTAATCTTTTTTCTTCCCCCTTCCGTCATTCCAACATCTCTTTTTCCGAACTCTGAACTAAAGTGGAAGACAAGCATTCCAGTGATGCCAGTAGTTTGCTCCCACAGAATATTTTGTCTCAGACAAGCAGACACAATGACAGAGACTACAGACTGCCAAGAGCAGAGACTCACAGTAGTTCTACGCCAGTACAGCACCCCATCAAACCAGTGGTTCATCCAACTGCTACCCCAAGCACTGTTCCTTCTAGTCCATTTACGCTACAGTCTGATCACCAGCCAAAGAAATCATTTGATGCTAATGGAGCATCTACTTTATCAAAACTGCCTACACCCACATCTTCTGTCCCTGCTCAGAGAACAGAAAGAAAAGGTATGCCGTTGTTACTAGATGCTGCACGTTGAACTGTAGTGTGAGTTTCTGAGTATATGACATGATTTCCATTAGCTTCAGTGAGACTCTGAATTATAAATTCGTTTAAAGTCTTCTAGAATGTTACTGCATAGATTAGATCTTGCGTTAGCTGTAATTAGTGTTTTTCTTTTCACTTTTAATTATGGAGCCTCAGAACTGGTTTTGCGTTTACCACTTTGAAGTCAAGTGCTTAATTTATAACAGTAATGGATAAAACAACTTATTAAAGCTAAATGAGTGTCCCATCACACTTGTATACAAGTAAATTTGGGTGTTTTGTGATAATTGTCTTCATGATTTAGTCAAGAAATTGTCTCAGTTTTCACTTAATACGAATAGAGACATTTTAAAACTTGTCATTGCCACATAACATGCAACTATTGGTTTCAGTTTGTGAATTAGACAGCTGATTTATGGGCCATAAGATAAGGAGTCTTATGTCTGAACTAGGATATAGTTGAAAGACTAGAGGTTAAAATTTGCAACCCACATTCCAGCTCTGTGCTAATAACCATAGAATATTCAAAAAAATTAGAAAAAAATTGGGAGATGATGGATAATGGGAAGCATGGTGATGGGATAAGAATATTTGCATAGACCAGTCACAGTCCCAGACTTAACACTTTTATGAAACTAAGGAAATTTAAAGGCATTAAGTAAACAGAAGTATGAGTAAACTCATTAGCAGATTAGCATCAGTTAACTGTTGAGGAATTTTTCTTTCTTTTGGGTTTAGGAGATGTGACATGGACCTATTGAGTGTTTACTGTAATGTCTGGCCCACTGTTTCACACTGACTTAATTTGTTGACAAGGATTTAAGTATTTGGGTTTCTTGTGTTTCTAGTTTCCTCTCCTTTTATGTATGTTGTTGGAATTTCCCCTGTAGCAGTTTTTACACATTGTTAAACCATGCTTTATCATATAGTGCATAGTACATAAACAGGGTATTCCAAATGTTGTCAAATTCCCCAAAGATGGTGTATCAGAATTCATTGTACAAGTTATATTTGCCCTGATGCAGAAATAAATTTCCAAAAGAGAATTTCTTAGAAAGTCTGATTTAATGCAATAATTGTTAGTAGTACTTTCTAAAGGAAGTTTAGCTTTTCAGTTGTGTCAGTTTTATTTTGGTTACAGAACATTTTCTTTTTAAAAGCCTCTGTCAGTTTGAAAAAAAAAACCCTTGGCCTTAAAAAAGATCTTTGGTATTTATCTCATTTTACCTCTTGTTCATTTAACAGCCTTTTTTTTACACTCTTACCTTCATCTTGGAATTTTTCTTCCCTGACTTCTAGAACACTGCTGGCTCTTTAATGTCTCCACTCTTCTCTTCTTGCTCCTTGAATATCAATAGAGTTTAGTCTTACTGTGTTGTTTTTCTTTTTTCTTGCCCCCAACCTGTTCTCATTTGCTGGGTGGCAATTCTTATGACTGCTTTGTCTACATAAGTGACTCCCAAATCTTTATTTCTAACTCACACACATCTGCTTCCTTGTCTAAGTAGTTGGTATCCAGAAGTTAATGTGTACCAAATGCCTTCCTTTCCCCTAATTTGTAGGTTCTCAGCGATAACACTATCCTCCCAGCTACTCTGTGTTCTTTGACATTCTTGCCCTTCTACCCCTGCCCATCCATCAGCAACTCTTGGATTATTCCAGATTTTATTTGTATATGTCCTTCCTCTTGCTACTGTCACTGCCCTGAGACTCAGATCATGGATCTTGAAATAACCTCTGATAATTGCTGTGCTTCCTTCTTCCCAGTCTCTGCATTTACCAGTGACATCATTATACTGGGTGGTGTTCTCTCTTGGCTTAAAATTTTCTAGTGGTTTATCCAAAGGATCAAAGTTCATACTTCCCAATAAGACAACAGCAAGCCCTTGACAGTCTGATTGCAGTCTGTCTTAACTAGCTTGATCTCCAGTATTTTACTCTTACATTCGCTATATAATTCATCTGCTAAAAACTTGTACTACTTTTTAGATCATGTTATGCTCTTTCATGGTTTGACCCTTTGCTGAAAAGGATATATTCTTTCCTCCATTCCCATTCTGTTGGACTCAGTACTTTTTTTTTTTTCAGAGCCAGCTATGGTGTCCTTCTGTTCTCAGTGTCAGCTAACCTCTCAAACACTTTTCTTTTGATCTGTTAATTGCACTTACCACTTTATTATTTTAGTTCCTCCAATTAGACGGTCCTATGTAGAGTTAGACATTATGATTTATTGCTTTTTGTACTTTTTTCACTCTCTGCCCTCCTTCAAAGCTTCGAGCACCATTCCTGAGAAACTTAACATAATAAAAAGTAAACTGTATACCTAGTTTGGTGCTAAATGTTTTGTATACCTTTTATTCTTTAAAACAACATTGTGAGGAAAAGAATTGTCTGTTAGATATGAAAAGCCTGAACATTGCTAAAGTCTAAACTTAACGGTGTAAGATGCGGTTTCTCTAAAATCCATGTTCTTTCCATAAAATTGTATGTCATGAAAGAGATCACAAATCAATTCATGTTTAAATTCCACAGAGTGTCTTTGCTGATCACAAACTTAATGTGAGACTCTTACATATAATTTTAAGCTTCTAGGAAACAACCTGATTACCTTGAAATTGCCTGTGTGTATAAGGAAAATAGTACTAACTTCCAAGTATTTCCCCTTGCATGTGAATTGAAACAGTATTATTCCCTTAAATAAATTGTGTAACAATTTGGATCTTTTCAGATTGTTTTCCAGTTAGTCTAAATTTGTAAAAAGGTCCAATAATATGAAATATATTTTTTCCCCTCAATGGAGACATCTGTGTTATTTCAGTTAAGCTTCCAGTTGATTCTTCTCATCAGCATAGTGATTTCCTTGTTTGGATTTTCCTTAATAAATAATTAAGAGGTTGATGGTTCATATAGATGGGTCTTGGTCTTAAGTGCTGATAGTGTAGCTAAGCTGTATTTTAAGGTTGTCAGCAATAGAATGCTCTAATAAAGAATACAAGAGCAGGATGTCTGTCCTGACCACTTCTATATCCCTAGAATAGCAAGTTGGTATTTGTGATATGTGAATAAATAACTGTAAGAATGGTAATGTGCTGTTCAGGGCTGGGGAAGCACCTGCCTTGGTCATGGTTTAAAAATGTATTTGGAGAAGAAGTGTTACATATGTTGTGATATAATTAAATAAACCAGAAATAGATTTAGGTCTGTGTAATGCCAGTGTCTCCAGTGTTCTTGCCTGGAGAATCCCAGGGACGGGGGAGCCTGGTGGGCTGCCGTCTATGGGGTTGCACAGAGTCGGACACGACTGAAACTACTTAGCAGCAGCAGCAATGCCAGTGTATCTTCCATTAAAAAGAACGTAAGACAGATCAGTCTGTGCTTGCTTGAGGGATAGAAGTGTGGAGGAGCTGTGAAGCTGTTTGGTTTTGCAGAGAATAATAATTCTAGTGTTAGGTAGGGTGAAACAAGGGTGTCAGGTTACCTCCTTACAGGTTTATATCTTTGTTACAGAAACATTTGAACATCTGTTGGCAAGATTACTGTATTGGACAACAAAGTACAGAGAAACTCTGTGCTAAAAAATGATGCAGTTGAATTTTTACAGATTGGTAGCCTGTTGACCATCCTAAACTGGTCCTGACTCCACTCTCCTTTCCAGATTTGTGAAATGACAAAATAGGCAGGAGACATGTGTCCTTATTTTTTGATTTGGCCAAACAAGTGCCAAAGTCAGAAGAGATTAAAATTTGTTATTTAATAATTTTGAGTTAAAGTTTATTAACGTAAATAAGTTTGAAAAGTAAATAGTAGCTGCAGACGCAGACCTAATCAGTGGCCTTCAGTAATTTCTCAGAAAATTTAGCATGTCTAAAGAGCAGTCAGTGCTGGTTCTGTAGTCTTGTGGCTCAGCTGGTAAAGAATCTCCCTGCAGTGCGAGAGACCTGGGTTCGATCTCTGGGTTGGGAAGATCCCCTGGAAAAGGGAGAGGCTACCCACTCCCATATTCTGGCCTAGAGAATTCCATGGATTGTATAGTCCATGGGGTCGTGAAGTGTCAGACATGACTGAGCGACTTTCACTTTCTGTAGTCTTAATCTAATGAGAAAGGAATTAGTCATTCTTAATATGAGATATAAGTTAGTCACCTAAACTTCCCTTTTTTGTTTGATGATGTTTGTAGACTGGGTGAAATTAAAATGAATTCAAAGACTTCCCAGTGTATATTAAAGCAGTAAGCCCACAGAGGAGCTCATAACTGGTTTTAAGTGGGCCACCATTCAGCCCTTCCTTGATTTGCTTTAAACTATTTTTAGGATTACTAAATATTCATGTAAAATTAGACCAATTGGCCATAGAGGTACTCAGATATAACTGGGGACCTTAACGGGGAGAGGGTGGTTAATCTGATTTAGTCAGTGAGTTTACTAAAATTATGTTAGTAAAGATGGCATTTTGAATAGTGGGGCAGAGGGAACACTGGTGGTGAAAGAATATTAGAAAATATTTGTTTATAACTTGAGAGTCAAGGAAGATCTTTTAAATCAGACTCAAAACACATTTGCCTTAAAACGTTCATAAAACTTCTCTGTGACAGAGATACAAGAAACAAAGGTTGAAAAGCAAATACCAAATTAGTAGAAAATATTTGGAACATACTTAAAACACAGTATGTTAAGGATACATTAAGAGTTCATCAAAGCAGTGTGAAAAAAACAATCCAGTAGAAAAATGAGCAAAGGCTATGAACCAGCAATTACAGAAGAGGAATTTTAAATTGCCTGTCTTGCTTTAGAATAGGTAGAGAAATTTACTCAAAATGGGACAAAGGCCTTAACTTAGGAGATAAAACTATAAAACTCTTAGAAGAAAACAAGGTAAAGTCTTTATGACACTGGATTTGGAGCTGATATCTTGGATATGACAGTGAAGAAGTGAAGTCGCTCAGTCATGTCTGACTATTCGA